CTCACTAGCATGTGGCACTGGTAGTGATCCTGAGATTACAACTGTTGAGGTCCTTTTTTATATCCTAACTCCCTAAATGCTGCTTATAAGACATGTTATGGAACTGACCAAACTCCCCTCAAATATATCAAGGAGATAGCCTAGACCCTAACTTTTATCTTATTTTAACCAAAATGTAAGGTGCTGTGTTCCAGATGTAATTTGATTGGTTACACTACTCGGCTTTGAGCAAAACATGTTTTATTCTTACCCTATGGTTAAAATACAAACAAAAGAAAGGAGAATTGATCTAACTTTAATGGAAGATATAATAAAATAATAGGTTATTTAACCTAACTAAGTCAGTTAATCAGGATCCACTTTCAGCCAGTTCTTAATGATGCTACTCTTTTAATGGTCCCCTTGAAAATAAACCTGCTCAAAAGTCTCAGAATTTCAAGAACATAAGAACATAAGAACTAGGAGCAGGAGTAGGCCGTCTGGCCCTTCGAGCCTGCTCCGCCATTCCATAAGATCATGGCTGATCTTTTCGTGGACTCAGATCCACTTACCCGCGTTCTCACCGTATCCCTTAATTCCTTTATTGTTCAAAAAAAATCTACCTTTTTTTTAAAAAACGTTTACTGAAGTAGCGTCAACTACTTCACTGGGCAAGGAATTCCATAGATTAACAACCCTCTGGGTGAAGAAATTCCTTCTCAATTCAGTCCTAAATCTGCTCCCTCTAATCTTGAGGCTATGCCCTCTTGTCCTAGCTTCACCTGCCACAAAGACTGACGGATTGTACCAAGCAACATATCCATTCAGCTGTTTGTAATAAATAAGGTACTGACTGAACCCAACCAGTCAGTGCTTGCAAAACTCACAACAGAGTGTCCAACATTAGACATAATTCTGCAATTGCACAACATTTGCTGAATAATCTTAGTGTCCAAAGAATTACGCTGATAACAAATTTAGGATTGTTGTTCAGGCTCACAGAATGATACACATGTGTAATGAAAGCTGCACATATTAATACTCAGAGCCCTGTTTTTTACAGGTAGAAAGAACATATTCATCTATTTTCCTGTTTCAACTCAAAACAAAAAGTGACAACCGTTGGGGTTCATTTCTCAGGGAAATGCCTTGACCGAACACTGTCAACTTGCCTAGTTTAAATTTAAGCAAAGCCTTGCAGTTAACTATCAGTCATCATTAATTGGTGCATTCTCCATGGCAATGCGTCTACCAATAAAAGTCCACTTGCCAATCAATCAGCACTTCCCTCTCATGCAGTATAAACGTTGGTTTTTCGCTTGAATTGACATTCTTAAAAATTGTCCTGATGAGTCAATGGTGGCTAAGTTATAGGAGCGGATTCTGACAGACAGGATTTAAATGCATTTGGAAAGGTAAGGACTGATTAAGGAGAGTCAACATGGCTTTGTGCTTGGGAAATTTGTGTCTCACTAACTTGATTGAATTTTTTGAAGGAATGACAAAGATGATTGATGAAGGCAGTGTGGTAGACGTTGTCGATATGGACTTCAGCATGCCACTCGACAAAGTTCCACATGGTAAAGTGCTTAGTAAGGTTAGATCACATGGGATGCAGTAGGAGCTAACCACATGGATACAGAATTAGCTTTAAGATAGGAGACAGAGGTTGGTGGTGGAGGGTTGTTTTTCAGACTAGAGACTTGTGACCAGTGGTGTGCCACAAGGATAGGTGCTGGGTCCACTGCTTTGCGTCATTTATATAACTGATTTGGATGTGAATATAGAAGGTAAGGTTAGTAGTATTGCAGATGTCACCACAATTAGTGGTGTAGTGGACAATGAAGAAGGTTATCTCAGAGTACAATGGATCATGATCAGATGGGCCAATGGGCTGAGAAGTGGCAGATGGAGTTTTATTTAGATAAATGTGAGGTGTTGCATTTTGGTAAGGCAACTCAGCACAGGACTTATACAGTTAATGGTAGGGCCCTAGGCAGCATTGCCAAACAAAGAGACCTAGCAGTGGAGGTGCATAGTTCTTTGAATGTGGAGTCGCAGGTAGACAAGTTGGTGAAGAAGGCATTGGGTATGCTTGCCTCATTGGTCAGTGCATTGAGTATAGGAGTTGGGATGTCATGTTGTACTGTTCAGGATATTGGTTAGGCCACTTTTAGAATACTATGTTCAATTCTGGTTTCCCTGCTATAGGGAAGATGTTGTTAAACATGAAAGGGTCCAGAAAAGATTTACAAGGATGTTGCTGGAATTGGAGGGTTTGAGCCACAGGAAGAGGCTGAATACGCTGGGGCTTTTTTTTCACTGGAATGTTGGAGTTTGAGGGGCGAGCTTATACAGGTTTATAAAACCATGAGGGGCATGGATAGGGTGAATAGACATGGTCTTTTTCCCAGAGTAGGGGTGTCCAAAACTAGAGGACACAGGTTTAAGGTGAGAGGGGAAAGATTTAAAAGGGACCTGAGGCGCAACTTTTTCATGCAGAGGGTGGTGCATGTATGGAACAAGCTGCCAGAGAAAGTGATAGAGGCAGATACAGTTACAATATTTAAAAAGCATCTGGATGGGTATATGAATAGGAAGGTTTCAGAGGGATATGGGCCAAAAACTGGCAAATGGAACTAGATCAGTTTAAGAAACCTGGTTGACATGAATGAGTTGGACCAAAGGGTCTGTTTCTGTGCTGTATGATTCTGTGACAAACTTTGACAAACTGTGTCTTTTTTCTAGCAATACTCAATCTTTTCTCATTCCCTGGATGTAAGTGGTCACCTAGTTGGATATAACAAGGGGCAGGATGTTTAGGTATCCAGCAGACTGTGCCACATGATTAGTGGGCTATGGGATTTTGTGAGGTCACTTTCATAACTTAGTGATTTGTCACACATTAAAACTAAGGCATTATTACCTCAAAATAAAATACTGTAGATACTGGATATCTGAAATAGTAAAATACAGAAAATGCTGGAGATAGTCAATAGATCAGGCAGCTTATGTAAATAAAATGAAAAACCGTGGATATTGCAGATCAGAAACAAAAACAGAAATTGCTGGAGAAACTCAGCAGGTCTGGCAGCACGTTTGGGAAGATCAGGTAGTATTGTGTGTGGAGAGAAACAGAGTTAATGTTTCAGGTTGATATCCAGAGTTCAGATGAAAGATCCACAGATGATCATGAACAACAAATCATTTCTAACATTTGTTGTTTTAAATATGTTATGTACATATTTACTGTTATATATTTTGTTATAATTTTGGAATGTCTAACTGCAATAATGAAAAGCATTTGGTCTGGAATTTTGAATCATTGTGGCTAGACATTGTAGTTTGTCAATTTTGTTGTACAGAGAATAACAAGCGTCTCTGATTCTGTTACAAATGCTGGAATATGTGCTGAATTAGGTGACCAAAAATCTAAATTGTTTACAAACCTGAGATAATATCCAGTTCACTCTGACTTCAAACACTATCTCTGTTTAACAATAAAAGTTCTGAACTTTTCATCTGTGAATTTTTCCAGATGCTTTGCTGCTAAATGAACTCTGTATTTTGTCACCACTTTTGAAGGTTTTCTTTCCTGACTGCTGTAGTTGCTGAGTTTTATTCTGTCTGTTACTCTCTACAATCTTGCAGAGGAATGGGCTGTTTCACTGGGTTCTAGCACCATTAATAAAGTGAGGTGACCAAGTGAGAGAAAGGGAAATTAAATCTTTGGGGATGGGCTATTTCAGCATAACAAGTGAGTTCATAGAATGACTTAATTGTACGAGACAGAGGTGACCATTTGGCCTATCATACCTCTGATGGATCCTTGAAAGAGTTATTCAACTAGTACACTTCCCCTTATCCCTTCCCTGCAGCTTTGCACAATTTTCCTTTTCTAAATATTTATCTAATGACCTTTTGAAAGTTGCTATGGAATCTGCTTCCACAATTTTTTTTCAGGCAGTGCTTTCCTGATCAGTAATGTAGAAGAATGAGGTGTGATTTGCTTGAGCTATCGAAGAAGATTTTTTAAAAATGTCATTCATTCATGGGATGTGAGCATCATTGGCAATGCACGCATTTATTCCCATTCCTAATAGCCATCAAGAAGGTGTTGTTGAATTGCCTTTTATGAACCCGCTAAAATCATGTGATGTAGGTATACCCAAAGTGCTGCTAGGGAGGGAGTTTTAAGATTTTTAACCAAATTCCTTTGAAAATGTGGCAGTATAGCTCTGCGTCAGGATGGTGTGAAGGGTGATGAGTAGTTGGTGTTATCCATTGCAACTGTTGCCCTTGTTCTTCAGGTGATGGAGGTAGGGGATTTGGAAGCTGCTGTCAAAAGGGCTTTGATATGTTTGCTGCTGTGAATCCTTTAGATGGTTCACACTGCTTGCCACTGTCAGAGAGTGAATATATAAGATGGTGGATGGGTTCCGATTGAGCAAGCTGCTTTGCCTCAGATAGTGTAAAGCTTCTGGATTGTTGATGCTGCACTCGTCCAGGTAAATTGAAAATATCCCATCAGCTCTTGACTTGTGTCTTGTAGATGGTGGGCATGTTTTGGGAGATGAGGGGTCTGATACTTGCCATAGAAGTCTGTCTCTGCTCTTCAGGTTGCAGTATTTTTATGGTTTGTCTAGTTAGTTTTCTGGTCAATGGTAATGCCCTGTTCTGAAGGATCTTGTTTGTGAGCCAACGGTAATTGAATGTCACGGAGAGATAGTAAGAGTTTCTTTCTTTGGAGATGTTCTAATACTTGTGTGGTGTGAATACTACTTGCCATTTATTACCCCAAGTCTGAATGTTGATGATAGTAATTGATTAATGGATAGAGAGAAACTATTTTACCGAGAGATGGGCTTCTGGTACAAAGAGGTTCCATTTGCAAATTACTGGTGATGTGGGTAAGTGGGGTTGAGACAGAGATCACCTATTATCTAGTTAGATGTAGGCAAAAGTTTGAGGAGTTGAATGGCCTACTTTTGTTCTACGAATTTTTCTTATCTTTGCTGCAGGAACTATATGTGGCATATAACAGTATTTCAGATGTCAGCCCGGTGAGCATGTTAGAACACCTGGAAGTACTGGACCTGGAAGGAAACAACATTGATGATATTGTGCAGATCCACTATGTAGCTCTGTGCAGCAAGCTGAACACACTCACACTGGAGGGGAACCCTTTTTGCTCGCCACAAAACCCAGGGATCCCAGAGGTAAAAAGAGTAAATTGATGTTTTGCTGTATGCATTGTCATCGTGGTATCCATTTTGCATTATTTACAAAACACCAGCAAAAATATTCTTGCAAACAATAAGATAAAACAAAGAACTGGAGTTGCTGAAGTTCTGAAACAAAAACAGAAATTGTTAGAAAAACTCAAGAAGTCATGCAGTAACTGTGGGGAGAATTCAGAGTTAACATTCGAGTCTAGTGACCCTTCTTTGGATCTGATGAACAGTCACTGGACTCAAAATGTTAACTCTGCTTTCTCCCCTCAGATGCTGCCAGACCTGCTGAGTCTTTCCAGCAATTTCTATTTTTGTTTCAGATCTTGAAAACAAGGTCATCTAGTCATTTGGTAGTATAGAGTTTGAGCATTGCTGAAAGAGGACATTTTGTCAAAGCTTTGCATCTTGCACTCACCAGAACAATTCACAAAAAATACCAAAGTAAAAGGAAACAGCATTTATATTGTACAAGAGGAGAGTGCTGACTGGTTGCAAGTGGATTGTTAGAGGCTTTGCCATAGAGAATGAACCAGTTAATGATGACTGATGATTAACTGCCAAGTTTTGTTTAACTTTTAAACCAACCAGGTTGACTATGATTAGCCAGGGCACTGCAATGAGAGAAGAACAAATGGCTGTTACCTATGTTGTTGAGTAGAGATAGATACAGCATGTGTATGTGTTCTTCTGTGTAAAATTAACAGGATCCTGTGTATTAATATATTTAGTGTCCAGTCTAAGCAAGCGTGGCACACTGTGAGTCTAACTGACAATTATAAATTAATTGTCAACATAAATCTTTGCGCACTCAGGATTGTTTAACAAATGCTGTGCAATCACGAAATTGCATCTAATATTAGACACTGTGCTGTGAGCTTTGCAAGCATGGACTGTTGTCTATTGTACCAAGATTGAAGACATGTCCCTGGGCTGGAGAGGATCTTGGAGCTGGGCAGGTTATCGTGAATTCATACTCCTAAACTCCTAACTCTGAAGATTTGGCCCAAATCTGACAGAAAACGACCAACACTCTCAACTCTTTTTAATACAGCACTGTAACATCCATAAACATACAATTGACAGTACCTGCTCACCTTTTAAGTCAGTATCATATTCTCAAACAGTGTTCCCCTAAGTTCTGAATTGCACTCAGGCTGTTAACCCTTGAATTGAGGCTTTTGAAAAGTTGCTGTTTCAGTGCTGGTTTTCAACTTCATTATTCCATTGCAGTTCATCCAATCCTCTTATTAGAATTATTTTCTGAGAAGCTTTAAACTATGCAGTGCTGCCATGCCATCTACTGCTGTTTTTACTGTTATCTGTTTCTCCTATTATTGTCTGCTACAATCATTGCTATTACTACTAAACACTCAATTCTTAAAGCTGTGTACAAAAAAATGTGATAATGATTATGATTACCCCTCCCCAAATCTGCAAATTGTTTTACATCTCATAACAATATCATATCCCGGTTCATGAATTGTCTATTAAAGTATAAAGGTAAGTTCAATATTAAAGATTCTAGTTATCATATCAGGTTTCATTCAAATCAAAAGGTTGTCTGGTTCATGTAATATATGAAAATGATTTTGATGGGAAAGATCTTCATTTTGTCAGGTAGGTTTCGCTCTTGGGGAAAAGTTCAAGGAACTTGCAGTATTATATTGAAAAACTCATGTCTTAGCTGGGTTTTTAAGGTAATGTGGAAAGCTGAGAGGCAGAGTTTGGACAATTTCTGAAACTAGTCTGTTACTGCACTTTTGTGGTAACTTTCTTCTTTAAGGCATTTAAATGTTGGCTTCTTTTAAGATGAATGCATTCTTGCATCCTAGGACCTAAAAAACAAAATTGGCTACAGTGATAGTGAATGTATTCATTGTGATCTTTGAAATTTACAAGGATTCTGGAAACGTTTCGGCAAATTGTAAAACGGCAAATGTAATGCCCCCATTCTAGAAATGAAAGAGACAATAAAGCATAAAACTATAGGTAATTTGCCTAACAGATATCATTATGAAAATACTGGAATTTATTATTAAGGGTATAGTAGCAAGACACTGAGAAAATCATAAAGTAATCTGAGTTAGCATGTCTGTATCAAAAAGAAGGCTTACTTGACAAAGTTATTAGAGTTCTTTCAGGATATTATGAATCAAATTGATAAAGGGAACATATCAGTTAGAAGCAGAAATAGATCACTCAGCCCACTAAGCCCACTTCACCATTCAATAAGATCATGATCTGTATGAATACTCCACCTTCTCGCCTATCCCAAAGACCTCTCAGCCTCTTGCTTATAAAGAATTTTTTCAACCTTGTTTTAAAAATGTTGAAGGACTCTGCTTCCATTAGGAGGAAGAGGTCCAAAGGCTCATGACTCTTTGAGAATTCATGCACATAGAGAGATTATTTTAGAGCAATATTTTAAAGTAAGGTTCTTCTATAAGGTTTCACGGGAGTGGGCAACTGTGATGCATTACGTTACTTGTTATCAACATTTGAAGTATGTTTATTTGAAACCACTAGATGTAGCACATTTGGATTTCCAAAAGGCCTTCAATAATACATCACATAAAGATTATTGCACAAGAAATATTTAAATAAATGATTTGGATGTGAATATAGGAGGTTTGGTTACTAAGTTTGCAGATGACACCAAAACAGGTGGTGTAGTGGACAGTGAAAAAGATTATCTCAGAGTGCAATAGGACCTTGATCACAGCAAGCCAGGTAATACCCAATAAGTTGACTGCTCCTTTCCTCCAGATGCTGCGTGGCTTGCTGGGTTCTTCCAGCCTCCTGTTTGTCCACCTTGGATTCCAGCATCTGCAGTTTTTTTTGTCTCAGGACCTTGATCAGATGGGCCAGTGGATTGAGGAGTGGCAGATGGAGCTTAATTTTGATAAATGTGAGTTGTCGCATTTTGGTCAGGCAAATCAGGGCAGGACGTATACAGTTAATGGTAGGGCCCTGTGGAGAGTTAAAGAAACCTAGAGGCTCAGGTGCATATTTCCTTGAAAGCGGAGTCACAGAATGAGAGGATGGTGAAGAAGGCATTTGACACACTTGCCTTCAGTGGTCAGAACATCAAGCATAGGAGTTGGGATGTCATATTGTGGCTCTACGGGACATCAGTGAGGCCACTTTTAGCATACTGTGTACAATTCTGGTCATCCTTCCATAGGAGTGGTATTAAACTTGTGAAGGTTCAGAAAAGATTAACAAAGATGTTCCTGGGACTGGAGGTTTTGGGTTATAGGGAGAGGCTGAATAGGCTGAGGCTTTTTTCCCTTAGAGCTTCAGAGGCTCAGGGGTGACCTCATTAGAGGTTTATAAAATCTTGAGGGGCATGGATTGGGTGAATAGCCAAGGTTTTTTTTCCTAGGGTGGGGGAGTCCAAAACTAGAGTACATAGCTTTTAGGTGAGAGGGGAAAGATTTAAAAAGGACCTGAGGAGTAACTTTTTCATGTATGGAACGACCTGCCAGAAGAAATGGTAGATGCCGGTACAATTACAAAATTTAAAAAGGCAGCTGATGGGTATATGAATAGGAAGGGTTCAGAGGGATATAGGCCAAATGCTGGCAAATGGGACTAGGTTAGATTGGGATGTCTGGTTGGCGCAGGCGAATTGGACCGAAGGGTCTGTTTCTGTGCTGTATGACTCTTTATAGAGTTTATGGTGTCAGAGGTAATCTATTAGCATAGAGAGAGGAGTGATAACTAACAGGAAACAGGAATTTGAGATAAAAGGGTCACTTTCAGGTTGGCAAACTGTAACTAGTGGGATGTCACAGGGAGTGGTGCTGGGTCTGAACCATTTGCAGTCTGTATTAAGGACGAGTAGTGGGACTAAATGCATTGTAGCTACACTAGCTGATACAAAAGTAGGAAAGCATGCTGCAAGGAGAACAGAGAACTTTTGTTTGGGATATAGATGGGTTTAGTGAGTGGCCAACAATTTAGCAGATGGTGTATAATCTACTCAAATTTGAGATTGTCCACTTTTGCAAGAAAAATATGAAAGCAGAATGTTATTTAAATGAAATGAGACTGCAAAATGCTGTGACAATGAGAGATTTGGATACTCATGAGTCACAGGAGGTTCGAATGCAAGTACAGCAAGTGATTAGGAAACCAGATGGAATATTGGCCTTTGTTAAGAGGGTGATGAAATATTAAAGTAGGAACTCAAAAGGTTGTTGGTAAATTGCATCTAGAGTAATTTGTATAGTTTTGGCTTTTCTATTTAAAAAGGAAAGTACTTTCATTGGAAGCAATTCAGAGATAGTTCACTAGGCTGATGCCTGAATTAATGGGGTTGTCCTGTGAGGAAAGACTGCTTGGATCTGTTTCCCAGGTATGTTCTGTACTCCCAAACCAGGACATATCCAACCTGGTCAGTTACTGCACCATCAGTCCACTCACGATCATTAGTAAAGTGATGGAAGGGGTCATCAACAGTGCCGTTATTAGCTTAGCAACATCTGTTCACTGAGGCTGAGTTCAAGTTCCACTAGGACCATTCAGTTCATGACCTCAACAGAAAATTGTTTAAAACAAGGACAAAAGAGCTGAATTCCAGAGTTGAGCTGAAAGCGATTCCCATTGACATCAAGGCTACATTTGATCCAGTACGGTGTCAAGGAAACTTAGCAAAACAGGAGTCAATGGGAATCAGTAGACGACTTCTAACACATGGGAAGATGCTTGTGGTTGTTGCAGGTCGGTCGTCTCACCTCCATGATATCTCTGCACAAATTCCACAGACAGTAAAAGCAAAAAACAGTCTGGAAGCTTCCAAAACAAAACTCACCCCTGTTGACAACCTAGTCAGCACCAGTTCTGTCTTTATTTTCTCTTTGTTTTCAATGTTCTGTATGGTTAGCTGGACAACACTGGTCTTCCCTTGATTGAGCAGTTCAACATCGAACCAGCTGCCATTCACTGAGCATAATAACATCTCAATGTCAAAACATCTACAG